TATTGTTATATGTATCTTTTATTTTCAAAAGATGAGGCAATGATAAATTCAAAGTTTTTAAAACGGAAGTTGAGTTACATACCGGAAAGAAAGTAAAAAGGCTTAGAACTGACAAAGGAGGAGAATATTATGAGCCTAAGTTTTTTGAATCCGTTGGAATAATCCATGAAACAACAGCCCCTTATACACCGCAACAAAATGGCATTGCTGAAAGAAAGAATAAAACTTTAAAAGAAATGGTTAATTCCATGTTGTCTAATTCTGGCTTAAGTAATGGATTTTGGAGTGATAATATGTTAACTGCTTGTTATATTCTTAATAGAGTGCCTAACAAGATAATAAGATTACCCCATATGAACTTTGGCACAAAAGAACACCATAACTAAGTTATCTTAGGGTATGGGGTTGTAGGGCAATCGTGAGATTACCGAAACCTAAATGAAAAACGTTAGGTGAAAAGGGAGTAGAGCGCATATTTATTGGATATGTTGAACATAGTAAATCATATCGATTCTATGTTATTGAACCGAATGACTCAATTGCGGTTCACACTGTTATTGAGTCTAGGGATGCTCAACGGTTCACTTCTATTCCTCGACCAAAGGATGTTGATCCGGTCCAAGTAATTCAAACTTACATGAACTAATAAGGGATCATGAAAATGAGCCCGAAATAAGACGGAGTAAGAGGGCTAGAAAAGAAATTAGGTCACAGAAAGGCATTACAGTGACACTATTTTAGTGTCACAGAAAGTTTCTGTAACACATATCATTCGTCGCAGAAGGTAGGAAATGGTGACACTAAATTTAGTGTCATAGGTAAATGTCAGCAACTTATGACGCTCAAGTATCATTAAATATTTTGGCATGCGTGTATCACAATTACTTGTGATACTATAACGAAACAAAAAATCATGATACATTAGTATCATATGAATAAATGATGCCAAGACATCGATAGAATTAGTAACACCTCGGTATCATGCTTTATAAAACATTAATATATCAGAATAACGTATACAAATCATTCAAGACACGCCTAAAATGGCAAAGATACAAAATATGAAAATCCCACAATTTTCATTCACACCAAAAACTCATCCACAAGTAGCAGTACATATTCTTACAATTTACTTGCAATTTCACCAAACTACATAAACCGGCACATGTTTCACCAAAATACAAAACCATGATAATACAATCAAGCACTTAGCACTTGTTTGTTGCTGCTATAACTCTATAAGTGCTGAAGTAGAAATATTTATGGTTTACTTCAAAGTTCAAACTTCTAGCAATCCAGCCATACTGCAAACTTCCATCACCAACCAAATCATCTAGTTATCTACAAAAAACAATATAAACAAAATAGAAATTATTAACCAGAATTGAAAAAACTCACACACTCATATACATAGAAGGAAAAATAAGACATTACCTGCCATGGAGGGATGAAAACCAATCAAGGAAGTGTAAACGACAGCCTGTGATAGTGAGATGGAATGAAAAACGACGGAAGATCCTACTATTAGATACTCCAAAAAAAAAAGAGAAACTAAGGGTCTGTTTACTAACAGAGATATTTTCCTGTTTTTTACTTTTGTTTTTCTATCTCCAATTTTCTGTTTTTTATTTTTCAGTTTTTCTATCTCCAATTTTCTGTTTCTATTTTTTAGTTTTCCATTTTCAAATCTGAAAACACGTTCATCAATTTTTTCACTCAGTTCTCCAATTCCACACCCTTGACCCCTACCCCTACCCTTACCACTATCTTACACTCTACCCATACTCCCCCACAACCCTTCATATCCACCCATACCTACTCGTAGGGGTCAGGGTAGGGAAGTTATGGGTGGGGATGGGGTAAGGGGTATGGTCGGGGTGTGATGGTAAGGTCTAGGGGTTGGGGTTGGGTGGGGGTGGGTGGGTTAGGGTTGTGGTTAGGGGGTAAGGGTGGGGTAGTGGGTAGGGTTGGGGTAAAGTAGGGGTAGGGTAGGGAGTTGGGATAGGATGGCGGTAGGGTGGGGCCGAGGTAGGGAAGGGGTAAGGTAGGGGTAGGGTAGGGAGTTGGGATAGGATGACGGTAGGGTGGGCCTGGGATCTGGGTGGGGCCGAGGTAGGGGAAGGGTAGGATGGGGGGTAGGATGGCGGAAGGGTGGGGGTAGGATGGCGGTGGGGTGGGGCTGAGGTAGGGGGCATGTGGTAAGGGGTAAGGTAGGGGTAAGGGGTAATATACGAGGGATGGGGTAGCGTGGGTTGGGGTGGGGTCGAGGTGGTAGGGGGGTGGCGGTAGGGTAGGGTGGATCGGGGTGGGGCCGAGGTAGGGACATGTGGTAGGGGGTGGGGTAGGGTCATTATAGGGAAAAATGGGTATGCGGGGTGGGGTAGGGTAGGGGTAAGAGGTAAGGTAGGAGGATGAAGGTACCAGAATGGAACCGATATCAGAGCGGGACCGAACCCACCACTAGGTATAAGTATGCAAATTAATTGCAGCGACACTGTAGCATCTGCAAAGAGAAAGGTGTCTCATTTTTTTCGTTTTGGAAAACGATTTGGTAAACACATTTTGCTTTTTTCCTTTCTCCAGTTTTCTAGAAATTTCTTTGGTAAACACGTTTCCTATTTTCTGTTTTCCAGTTTTCCAATTTCTTGGAAAACTGAAAAATATTTCTGTTAGTAAACAGGCCCTAAATTTCTATCAATGTATAGTACTTGTTTACATTAGAGTGTAACCTTGTCTTTCATAGATAAACTTTATATATCATATCACATGTATATCCGTATCCGTATTCTGTAATTAAAGTAGCCTAGTCTTTCAGGAAATTAACCAAACACGTCTAAACTAATATCAAAACAATATTATCAATAATTTTCCTAGGGCTATTAAATACATTTGGAGAATATATTCTACATAGCAAATTGGGGCCTTACATTATAAATGAAAATAAATCACATCATATATATCAAAAAGTTCAAAAGGTTTAACAAAATGTAAATATGTTAAAAGAGAAATATAAACTTTAGACATACAACTTAAAGAGTAACTTCAAAACTGAAATTAACAATAAAATCAAATGTAAATGCCAAAATATGAAAATAGAGTAGCTTCAAAACTTTAGTAGCTCGACTCTAGAAGGCCAAACCTGCTAAAATAGGGGGAATCACTTAACAAATATGTAAATAGTGTGTGAAATTTATGTAAACAAATTATCAATTAAGTAGTTAAGCAATTAACCAAATAATGTAAAAAAATTCAAGCACCAACCAGGTTAAGTATCATACCCTTCGGGGAAATTGAAAGATCTTCAAAGAAGATTTGTCTAGAATGAGCCTGCTTGGACAACCAATCCGTGGTTGGAATTAGTTCTTAATAGAATCCTTTGGAGGTTCTTCAAATTAAGAAAAACAATTCTTCTCCAGCATCATAGCCAAGCTTAAACTCAATTGCATTCTTGTTGAGTCCGACTCAGAGAGCGTTTGAGTCGGATTCAGTCTACTGCAGAATACAGGGGAGGTCGAGTATTTATCAAGAAAGCACAAAACCCCAGCAACAACCAACTAAAAAAGTTCCTTAATTAGCATTGTCAAACACAAATTCACCCACTTGTACAATTGAAAAAATGCAGTCTTTTCTAATTAGTCCAAAGGTCAAGTTACCGGTATACATGGGTTTTCCTAACGTGTGCTCATAGGCAAATTAAGAGAAGCAAACTATGAGTATATTTAATGCTCAAAGATTCTTAAATCAATTTTTATATAATGTGACACAATGTTTGTATTTTGGAAATCACTGTACTCCTATATTAAATTGCATTTATATTTTCCTAAATTTATCACATTCCTTATCATTCATTCTTTATGATGCGTTCATTCTACCTCAATTTGTACTCCTTACCCTTAATTTGCCATTCAAAGTCTTATCATTCTGCCTTTGAGACTATGTACACATCCATAACAAAGCATCTGATTCTGATAATACACTGTTCACAGCTCTGAAACTTTCATATGTATCAAGAGATCAGTTGACTCCTCATATATAAGATTTATGTATTACCAAACAATCCAATGGTTCTAAAACTATAATTTTTATTTGTATATATAATTGAACTACATTAAACAAATCATAGAAGCAATTAAGTAATTACTATTATGATTTTACACTGCAGAAAATTGTCTGATTACTTTCAATCATAAAATTCAGGTCAACCGTTTTGAGGTTACTTGTGCAAAAGAGAGTTCATGCAGATAGTACGTATCTCAGCCAATATTTAATAACAGTCCTCAGAGACACGGGATGACAATCAGGACACGAGCTCCTGCTGATATCGACCGGACGAAGCCTGCAGTTTAAAACATGTCCACTAAAATTTAGTAGTTCAAACTTCACAATACTAAAAAACGGCAAAAACGTAAAAAGAGAAACGAAACTTATTCTGATTATCTGGGGGAGTTCATAGAGAGGAATATTAGTACTGATTCAGGAAGAGTAAGTGGAAGCAGTCCCTATCTGCACCTTAATCTTTGCCCGTTTAGGTTTCTGTATTGCTCCACTTCGGACTACTCAGATCCTGATTACGACACCACTATGTTAGGAACCTGCTACCACATTACGAAGCCTTCGCCTCCACAACCTCCCTCGTTGTGCTTCCTTTCACTTGAGTTATTCACCAAAACGAAACTCATATTACCATTTTTAACAAATATAATATCTACATACAGTTTCTATTAAATAAGATATAAATAAAGAACATTTATATATTTCACTTTCCATTCACAATTTCTAATACTCCCTCCGTAAAAAGTGAAAAAAGTAAGGGTAGTTGAGTATTTTTTAAAGGAAAAAACTTACCAACAAGGGAAAGTGTAGCAAACTTTTAAATACATCCCAAAAAGGAAAGTGTAGCAAACTTTAGAATACGGAGGGAGTAATAACTTTCATATAAAAACTTTTACCTTTCTTATATTCCCAAAATTGAATCTACTTCCTATAAATAAATTGAAGAATTCAATTGCAACAACAATGAACCTTCCTCCATGTGCAAGCAACAACCATGAAGCTTCCTCCATGTGCAAGAATGACAAATGGAGCTTCCATACACCGAAGAGTACACCTAGGAGTGACCTTCCTTCCAACCACCATTGAAGCTTCCTTCCACCTTCATAGTACCTAGTTTTGGTGCTATAAATAGAGAGCTTGGAGAGTCTTTCTATCATCAAGCAATTTAGATCATAGATTAGAATACCACAACCAAGTTTGAGTTGTGAATATCCTTGAGAGATATGTGAGGTGTTTTGAGAGTTTTTAGTTAGAGCTTGTATGTCTCTTCTTTCTATTCTTGAAAGTAATAGAAGTGTTTTTCTCTCATATTAGCACGATCCTGTTATTCCCAACAAGTGGTATCAGAGACTGGTTGAGGTTTTGATATTTTTCCCAGATTTTTTCAGATAAAATTCTATTGTCTGAAAAATCGAGTTTTTCAGTATTGCTCGGAATTGTAATCTGAATATACCGTTGGATTCGTCTCGTCGAGACGAGAAAACTGGTATTTTTGGGGATTTTTTTTGGCCACCGGAAGCTGCCGTACGCGCCGCCAAACGCCGGCCAAAAACTGCCTGCGTCATGCTGACGTCATCACGTGCAGACAGAGGTTGAAGACAGCTGACGTCATCGCTGACGTCATCAGCCAGCCAGAGCTGCGTCAGCGCCACATGTGCAGTCCCAGCACAGTCAGCCGCCACGTCACCAGTCAACTGCCAACTTTCACCAGCGCCCAGTCAGCTGCCACGTCATCGCCCAGTCACCGCCACGTCACTGCCACGTCACTGCCACGTCACCGAAGGTGAAAATGACCTTTGACGAGTCAACTTCATCTTCCGGAGCTATGATTATGCTCACGGCTACCAACTACACGCTATGGAACCTCGGATGGAAGATTTCCTTAGCTGTAAAGACCTTTTTGATCCAATAGAGATGAAAGGTATTAATCCTGACCCGGCTAAGTCAACGGAATGGAAGAAAATTAATAGAAAAACTATTGGTCAAATCCGACAATGGATTGACCATAGTGTCTTCCACCATGTTGCACAAGAAACCGATGCTTATACCCTTTGGAAAAAGTTAGAAGATATGTACCAGGCCAAGACCGCTAGGAACAAGGCCCTACTGATGAGGCGTCTTGTTAATATGAAGCTCAAAAGTGGAACTTCTGTTGCCGAACATACTAGTCAATTTCAGAGTCTGGTAAATCAACTATCTTGTGTAGAAATGCCACTTGGAGATGAAATGCAATCTCTACTACTTCTTAGTTCCCTTCCTGATAGTTGGGAGACACTAGTTGTTACTCTCAGCAACTCAGCCCCAGATGGCAAACTTACCATGTCTGTGGTCAAGGATGCACTGTTCAATGAGGAGGCAAGAAGGAAAGACATGAGCACAGATGAGACTCATGCCCTTGTGACGGAGAATCGAGGAAGATCACAAGGAAAGCAACAAAGAAACAGTAGAGGAAAGTGGCAAAGCAGGGGCAAAAGTCGGGGGAGATCATCAGATGGCCGGAAACCTTCTTATACATGCCACCATTGCGGTATAGAGGGTCACATGAAGAAGAATTGCTACAAATTGCTAGAGGAGCGAGGCAAGAGCAATTCTCAAGCGAAGAGCAAGGGTGGTGAAGCGCTCATCACAATCTCAGGTGATGTGGCGTATTGTACTATCAATGATGAAACATGCCTTCACGTCTCAAGAGAGGACACTGAATGGGTGGTAGATACTGCAGCATCCTACCATGTTACTCCCCACAGGTACTACTTCACAACTTACAAAGCTGGAGACTTTGGAGCAGTGAAGATGGGCAATTCCAGTTCATCTGAAATAGCTGGAATTGGTGATGTACAAATAAAGACGAGTTCTGGGAGCACAATCACTTTGAAAGATGTCAGACATGTTCCAGACCTTCGTCTCAATCTCCTGTCAGTGGTATGTCTTGACGAACAGGGGTATGAAAACCACTTTAACAGGGGCACCTGGAAAATGTCAAAGGGCGCTTTGACAATCGCTCGAGGACATGTTTGTGGCACATTGTACAAAACCCATTTGAGGATTTGTACGGATAGCCTGAACATTGCTGAGGAGACTTCTCAGAATCTGTGGCACCTGAGACTCGGCCACATCGGTGAGAAAGGGCTGACTACCTTGATCAAGAAGAACCTTATCAACACCGACAAGAATGCTGCACTGGGTCCTTGCAGTCATTGTCTGTTTGGTAAGCATCATAGAGTATCATTTAGTTCTACTTCAGCTAAAAGATCAGAGTTGTTAAGTTTGGTACACTCCGACGTTTGTGGTCCTTTCGAGGTGGAATCAATCGGTGGAAGCAGATATTTTCTGACTTTTATTGATGATGCTTCTCGGAAAGTGTGGGTGTATTTCCTGATTACGAAAGATCAGGTATTTGAGTGCTTCAAGACATTTCACGTCTTGGTGGAACGTGAAACGGGAAAGAAGCTGAAATGTCTCCGATCTGATAATGGAGGCGAGTATACTTCTAAGGCGTTCGATGCATATTGTAGAGAATATGGCATTCGACATGAGAAGACAGTACCACGCACCCCTCAGCACAACGGCGTTGCTGAAAGAATGAACCGGACTATCATGGAGCGTGTCCGGAGCATGCTGAATATGGCTAAGCTTCCGAAGTCATTCTGGGCAGAAGCAGTCAACACCGCATGCTATCTTATCAACCGATCACCTTCAGTACCACTGAACTTTGAAGTTCCAGAGAGGCTATGGACATGTAAGGATCCTACATACTCACATCTTAGAGTATTTGGTTGTTCATCATATGCACATGTATCCAAAGAGCTCAGGCAGAAGCTCGATGCAAGAACTATCCCATGCATTTTCGTTGGCTATGGAAATGAAGAGTTTGGATACAGGCTATGGGATCCTAAGGAGAAAAAGGTGTTCAGAAGTAGGGATGTTGTGTTCCACGAAGATTTGACAATAGAAGACATTGAAAACCCCACAATGTCTCGGAAGTCAAATGAGGGTGTTTAAGTTTCAAATGAAGCACCAGAAGAGGACAAAGTGCATGAAGATAACTCAGAAGCAGAAGAGGAGGAGACAGAAGAGAGTGCAGAGCAAGGGGAGACACAATCCACCCCGCCAGACACAGATGATGGTAGCTCTTCTCAGATGGTTCCTACTGTTCGTAGATCTGAACGAGGGCATATACCATCGACAAGGTACACATCATCTGAATATCTTTTGTTAACTGAAGATGGAGAACCAGAGAGTTTTCAAGAAGCTGTATCTCATAAGGATAAAGAAAAATGGCTAATAGCAATGCAGGATGAGTTAGAATCTCTGCAGAAAAATCAAACTTATGAGATCGTAGAACTTCCTAAAGGGAAGAAGGCACTGAGGAACAAATGGGTGTTCAAGCTGAAGAAGGATGCAAACGGACAAGTGGTGAAACACAAAGCTCGGTTGGTTGTCAAAGGGTTCCAGCAGAAGAAAGGAATTGACTTTGATGAGATCTTTGCACCAGTTGTCAAGATGACCTCAATCCGAGTTATACTTGGCTTAGCAGCAAGTATGAACTTGGAGCTTGAACAGATGGATGTGAAGACAGCATTTCTTCACGGAGATTTGAAAGAAGAAATCTATATGCAGCAGCCGGAAGGTTTTGAGAACTCAAATGATAATTTTGTGTGTAAATTATCTAAGAGTTTGTATGGCTTGAAGCAGGCACCAAGGCAGTGGAATAAGAAGTTTGACTCATGCATGAAGAGTCAAGGCTACAAGAAGACTACTGCAGATGAGTGTGTATACATCAAGAAACTTCCAGACGGTACCTTCATTGCTCTTCTACTATATGTAGACGACATGTTGATCGTTGGGAAAGATGCAGTGAAGATAAACCAACTGAAGAAAGAACTCTCTAAGTCTTTTGATATGAAAGACTTAGGACCGGCTCGACAGATTCTTGGGATGCAGATCATTCGAGACAGGAAGAATCGCAAGTTATGGCTATCTCAGGAGAAGTACATTGAACGAGTACTTGAGAGATTCAACATGAATGATGCCAAGCCAGTAAGTGTTCCACTTGCGAATCACTTCAAGTTGAGCAAAAGAACATGCCCTACATCCAAGGAAGAGATCGGGGAGATGTCAGCAGTTCCATATTCTTCAGCAGTTGGGAGTTTGATGTACGCCATGGTATGCACAAGGCCAGACATCGCACAGGCAGTGGGTACAGTGAGTCGTTTTCTCTCTAACCCCGGGAAGGAGCATTGGGAGGCAGTCAAATGGATTCTCAGGTACTTGAAAGGTACCACGAAGTTATGTCTTTGTTACGGAGGAGCTGATCCAGTCTTGGAAGGCTACACAGATGCTGATATGGCAGGAGATACTGATAGTAGAAAGTCTACTTCAGGATATATCTACACTTTTGCAGGGGGAGCCGTTTCTTGGCAATCAAGATTGCAGAAGTGTGTCGCTTTATCTACAACAGAAGCAGAATACATTGCTGCCGCTGAAGCAGGTAAGGAAATGTTGTGGCTAAAGCGTTTTCTCCAAGAACTTGGGATCCATCAGAAAGAGTACAAGGTACATTGTGACAGTCAGAGTGCTCTAGACTTGAGCAAGAACTCTATGTACCATTCTCGTACAAAGCATATTGACATTCGGTATCACTGGATACGGGAGACGATTGATCAACAACTGTTGAGACTAGTGAAGATCAATACAAAGGAGAATCCATCAGACATGCTGACGAAGGTGGTAACACGGGATAAGCTAGAGCTGTGCAGAGACATAGTCGGGATGCTTGTTTTGAATATGCCTGGAAGGGGAGAATTGAAGAATTCAATTTCCAGGTCATATCCAAGTACAAGCAAATTGAAGAATCCAATTGCAACAACAATGAACCTTCCTCCATGTGCAAGCAACAACCATGAAGCTTCCTCCATGTGCAAGAATGACAAATGGAGCTTCCATACACCGAAGAGTACACCTAGGAGTGACCTTCCTTCCAACCACCATTGAAGCTTCCTTCCACCTTCATAGTACCTAGTTTTGGTGCTATAAATAGAGAGCTTGGAGAGTCTTTCTATCATCAAGCAATTTAGATCATAGATTAGAATACCACAACCAAGTTTGAGTTGTGAATATCCTTGAGAGATATGTGAGGTGTTTTGAGAGTTTTTAGTTAGAGCTTGTATGTCTCTTCTTTCTATTCTTGAAAGTAATAGAAGTGTTTTTCTCTCATATTAGCACGATCCTGTTATTCCCAACATAAATGTCCATTGCTTTTTAGTTTCCTCACTTAGACTACTTGCTTTTTACCTTGGCATATGGCGGGCACATGTAAAATTACATCTATGTATTATAAAAACACTTGCCAAACTGTCCAAAATAAGCTCCCATAGTCCCATCCTGCTGATCTGCTGAAGAAATTCCAGCAGCAAAATAATCAATAAAATTCAGAATAAGTGTCATTAGGTGGAGGCGCTGCTAGGCGGCGACGTTGCTGGGGGACAGCGGTGTTAGACGGAGGCGCTGCTAGGCGGCAACGTTGCTATGCAGCCATTCTTTTGACATCCTCCTACATTTGAAGTCATACAAACTGATTATAAATTAAAAATTCACACATGAATACACTTCTAAGACAAATACTTTATTGAAAACACTTGAATTAAATTTTATTAGCATATTCTTGCCTATTACTTTCTTCATAAGATCGTTTCAAAGGTCCACCGCCCCGGGTTGTGAATTGATAAATAGACAAATATAATCTAAATATTATAAAATCACATCAAAGTCGTTACAACTATAAAAAAAACAATCATCAAGTAAAAATCTAATAGACTGTCAATTTTAGTAAACAAGTAAACTGTAACTTAAACAATAAAACAATTAAAGAACTAAGCAAAGAATGGGGTTAAAAAACATTAGGCTGCACCACTGTTTGTCAAAATCTAAACAATCAAATAAACGGAATTTACAAAACACTACACAACTAAACAAGTAAACTAGCATGCATCCTGCAGCTTGCATGACCAAAATATGAAACATTAAAAAAATAAACTTACCTGGCAGAGGCAAGAAGCAGATGGCAGAATCCAGAAGCAGTTCGCCTAACGCTGAAATTAGGTATAGCTCCATTGTTTGAGAGCTAGACTTTATCATTATTAATTTATTTGTTGAGAGCTTAAACTAACAAAAAGCCTTTAAAAAAATTCATTAGATGAATGAAAACATAGTCTAGATGTACACACAGTATCTTAAATCATAGAAAATTACATTATATGCTTGATAACCAAATCCAACTCAATTAATTATCCAAATATATCATCTTTGTTGAAAGAGCGGATTCAACTCAATTTCTATATAAAGGGAAACCACTGCAGCAGTAAAAAAAATACATAGAATACTTTGTTCATAGGCCTGCTTGTTCAAACAATAACTTAACATATAAATTTTCTAAAAATATGAATACTTCATATTCAAACAATAAATTAACATACTACTAATAAAAAAATCAAAAACACTTCGTAAAAAAACCACACGAATACTTCAATATGGAAGAAGGAGACCGATGATTGAATTGAGTGGAAAAACATGTGCGGAGTTTACCTTCAAGCTTCGTCGTTGAAGGGGAGTCCAGAGAGATGGCAGAGCTTTGTTGTTGAAGGAGAGTCAAGAGAGATGGCCGCAGAGCTTCATCGTTGAAGGAGAGTCAAAGGAGATGGCTGCAGAGCTTCGTCGTTAAAGGAGAGTACGGGCTAAACGGTCGGCGTCATCAATGGACGATTCAGAGCTGGCAGTATTTACCGGGATTCATGGCGGTCCTTGAAGGTGGTGGTCGGTGGCTTGTACGAATCACTCTACATAATTGCAATACTTTGGAAGAAATCATTTTCCCGCTCAGCCGTGAAGCCATGTCATCCGCAGGATCCATTTTCAATCTAGGGCTGAGGTTATTTCATTCCCCCTGTCTCACTCAGTTTTTCACTTCAGCAAGACAAGATGAAGGCCTTCATCTCTCTCCGCAGACAAATCCTTCAGCCATGGTCTCATCGCCACTTCACTCACTCAGTTTATTGTCGAAGGCCTTCATCTCTCTGTCCAAACCATCAGCCGTAGTCTCATTCCCGACTTCAATCTCACTCGGTTCCACCCTCAAATCTCACATAAAGAAATCAATTGATGAAGAGGCAACAATTGGCCAAAATCGCAGAGCAATTGGGAGCAATGGCGGAGGAAGATGACGCCATGGTACTGTTCGGATTTTTTAAATAATTTTTATTCCGTTTATAAATTTATTTTATGAATTCTATTTTCCCCCAATTTCATTATTCTGTTATGTTAATTCACAATCATAGTTCTAAGTCTGATTCTTTCACTTTTTATTTTAAAAAATGAAAACAATTTGAAAAGTGAGTCCGATTCATATTCAGTATGCCCAATTATTAAATACATTTCATTGCTAAACCTAGATATTTGATGATCATGATAAGAGAATACGGGAAAAGAGCATGATTGTGAATACTTTAAAAAAAGGCATATAAATAGGCATCAAGGTTTGAGTCAGATGATAACATAATACTTTAATAACTTTAAAAGTGTTCATAATCATGCTCTTTCCCTTGATTTTATTTAATAAGAATAGATTTGAACCTTTTTTCATTTGATCCATCATTGAAGGTTTGGTTTTGCAAATTTAACATGTAAACTAAATAGCGTTAAGTATTAGGTTTAAGGTCCAATTTTTCACTGACTACAGTATGAAACCTCAAATAATGCTTACATCTAATGAGAATTAAACATATAAAACAGTACATGAACTACTAAGAATTATACATATAAAACAGTACATGAACTACTAAGGATTTTGCTACAGGTGTTGCCTTTGTATTTTAGTGTTTTGCGGTATCTGTTACTCAATACAATAAATATTGTTCTGTACCACTCCTATTTGAGTTTACTAATCTTAAATTTGTTTATTGTAGTTGTATTTTTGCAGGTTTTGTTCATCTTTGCTTCTTCTTGTGCATTCTTTCATTGATTTTGTGCATATCTTTTCTCTTTTAATAAATTCGTGTATTTTCATTTGCTTATATTGGTTATGAGAGTATTGTTTTGTGATTCTCATTAACATCTCACCAATATAATCTAAATATGTTCTCTAATGTTTTCTTATTTAGGTTATACCATTATACACTAAAGTCAACTACTCTGATGTGAGGAAAATAAAAAATATACGATAACAGAGGTTTGAAATTCCTTTGGCTGAAAATCTTTACCTGCTTTTATTTAAATATATTAAATTGTACTGATAATTCTTGAGTCACACTTAATATATACTTCGTATTGAGTATGTGATATTGTTAGCCATAATGTTTGTTAAAAATGCATTAATCCTTGCATTTTTATTTATCTAAAAGGGTTCTATTTTTATAGAGAACCCATTTTCTGCAGAAATAAATTTGAGGTTTCATCAAAACTAAATTTCTACCTTTACAGTAGCATCAAAAGTCTTCCTATATTTTATAGAATTTTATAGGGTTTGATTGATTATAATTCCACTTAAGTTCGACTAGCTCTTATTTGCAGGAATGATTGAGTGTATTTATGTGCTCTCCATTTGTAATTTCAAGCTTTAGATTGTCATTTATGTCAAAACAATAAATTTCCGTTTTGTTTTACTTCATTGAGTCATTCTATCATTGTATTATTCTTTTATGTTGGTTTTATCACGCTTCTAAATTTGATTCCACAAATTCATAAAAGTTGACCATGTAATTGGTTTCTTTTTTTCATTTTGGCACAAAATTATTATTGCGAGTCTCCAAATTTCCTATTTATAATGTTTTAGTCTCCAAATTTATCTCTTTTTAAGCAGATGTGGTCTGTGACTGCTTAAAATATGTGTTCAAAGTTTAGTTTAAGCTAACAAATAAAAATGGAACTGCTTTGTGTTTCTTTTGATTGTTAGTTAAATTCCCCTTTTAAATATAAAAGAACCCATAACAGTGCTGCATTTAGCTCCTTGGGTAATCTGGTGCAGAACTCCGTTTTCATATTAAGCTTAAAATATGAAAATTTTGAATTATACTACAAACCAAGATTTTAACGAAGAATTACTGCCCAAAGCCTAAATCTGAAACCACAGTGAAAACCAAAGCATAGCAAAATCTGATTTTAAAGGAAGGATCAGGTTTCTGGTGTTATAAATCTATAACAAGGTGGGGTATAATTCTCTTACACTCGATAATTGATAAAATGTTATTGATCATTTTTCTGGCAATCTTAAAATGCAGAATGGATATGGTGTTCTTGACATAAGTGTTAACTACATTTTCTGAATACGACTAGAACCAGAATGACAATCTCAATAGCTCTCATGCTCTGTCAGTCTGTAGTTCACATGTCTCTTAAATTTTGTGTTTGAGGTAGTACACTGTCTTCTTCCTTTCTCTTCTTGATTTCAAGATGAAAAGTTATGGCAATGAAGAATAAAATGATTGCATTTACTTTAGGTCTCAACGCCTTTCCTATGATCGGCCTCTTCAAGGTCAATGGATTCTATATAGTAATGGTTTTGTTTTCTAAATAAACTAACTCACCTCCCTTTGGCAAATAACATTTCAAAATAGTGCTAACTTATATAATGATTTGAAGTTATCTATCTTTCATATTGACTTGCTGTATCAGCACTATTTATATGTTTATACATATATAGTTTACTTCTAGCGTTTGGGTGTTTGAATGAAAATTAACGTAATTCAACAATTGAACACTTTTATTGTATGAGGTTCAATTACTCTGGACACTTTTATCATAATATGATAAACATTTGTTTTTTGCAATTATTACGTATGTTTGGCATGCAAAGTGTCTATTGCTCTATTTGCGGAAAGTATTTAATTTTTATCTTCAAGATATACACCCATGCGTTGCACGGGATGCAATTCGTACACCCGTGCATTTCAGATTAAAAAAATGCACTAAGCTTAAAAAGTTGTACAATTTGCATGAGCTACATTCTGATATTTCCAGGTAGTAACTCAAAGGTTATTTCAGTTATCACTTTATTTGTGTTATCTTTCATCTCATAGACTTTCTTAACTTTTATGAATAATTTTTATAATCTAAAATGTACCCTTCTAATAATAATATATGCACCTATTACTTTAATTTCCCTGAATAGATAATAATTTGGTGGTGCAGACTAAGTAGGCTCTAGCTGAAAAGCAGTAGCTAATCGGATATGGTGGCTTAGGAGGGATCTAACAAGGAGCCTTTGAGGGGGAATGGACATAGTGATAATGTGGGTTTAACATCTAATCATCACATGGACAAAGTGGTTGATTACTCTAAAAAGGATCACACAAGGAAGATGAGGACTCTAATGTGGAGGGAGAAATGTTTCTACAGGTGAAAATTAGTGATTCTATTGTGAAGGGTGGACAGGAGGTTATTTATATATTACGTAGTATATATGTTACAAATACCTCATGAAGCTCCAATTGACAGTAATGTCATTGAATGAGACTACGGGGATTAAAAATCCTAATGAGATGGAGGATGAATTACACCATGTATCGGCTGGGGGATACGTTGTTATTGTCCAAGAGGGCTGGGATAATATTATGTATAGACTTGGTCAAATTTGGTGAGGCAGGAACATGTATCATCTTTTATCAAGTTTTCACA